GCACGCCCTGGGTTTCATCCCAAAGATCAGCATCCCCAGCTCTCAGAGTAAAAAAAGATGTTCTGCCTGGCAGTTTGCTCCTGCACGCAAATGTCATTGCTGTCTGAAGTGAAACAGAAGAGCAAATGGGCAGCAGATAGAAGTGGGGTACCATCCTTGTCTTCATTAATTATTTAAGAGTCCTCAAGGTTTGCACAGAGGGAAACATTTTCAAGATGCTGATAAAGATATACCTCTCGGCTAACCAGTGTCTTCAAGATATCCCAAGCTAAGCATCCCAGAATGAATCCAGAGTCATTAACCGCTTCTAAAATAATAATTATAATTTTATATGTGTTTCTGAAATTCATCCATGAAGTACATTTAATCTGTTTGCTGTTAGTATTATTATTTTATCTCCAGGCTTCATTTTTATACTCATGTCAGTGAAACACATAAGATAATTGTTTAAATTAATACAGTAATAGAAACAACAGTAACAAACACTAAATTTTATCTTAAAAAAAGATAGTCTCTTCAGAGATCATCGTAAGAACCAGCCTTGGGGTTACTCTGGAAAGCAGACAGCGGGACGGGGCAGAGGCGAGCTCAGTACTGATCATGGGTGGGAGGTGGTTGGTCCTCTGCCCCTTCATGGGGAAAGCCCTGATAGCAGAGGAGAGAGACTCACATCTGGTCACTCCTCACAGAACTCTTCAGTTGCTGCATGAAAAAAATTGTTAATCTAAAACGTATAAACCGTAGGTAGACGAGGGTCTGCTGCCCACCAGGAACTGTTTGCTAGCAGTCGTGCTTGCACTCTTAAAAAGGAGACACCTGCGTGTAGGTATCTACCTTCCTCAGGGCTCAAGCTACCAGGCTAGCCCATTGGGGGACAGCTCAGCACTGCTTCTGGCCATGGTTAGAAGCCCTGTTAGGGCTCCAGGCCCTGCAATGCCAGGTGAGGTGCCTGCTGGCCCTGCAGCCCCTGCTGAGGTACCCCGGTGGGCATTGGCCGGCTGCTGCCTGTCCATACGCCTGACTGCTTGCTACCTCCGAAAGAAGAAGGTGAAGCAGTTCCCAGGCTGGAATAACCCCTGTGCTGAGCCCTGGCTGGGAGCCTGGCAGGAGATGGGGGCCAAAGGGCCACCAAGGAGCATTTCAGCAGCGGGACAGGAGCGGTGGCAGAGCTCCAGTACTCCAGCCTGTGCTCTGCTGCTGCTTAACACTGTATGTATGTGTGCACGTATGTACGTATACATAAACAAACATTTCAGCTGCCCCGCACTGTGGCGAGGCCATAGCCGCCCTGCTCAAAGAGTATCAAACAGTCCGGGTTTACACAGTCTGTGCTTTAGGCACTGCTTCCACCATTCTTTTGTTTCCTTCTTCTGGCTTAAATGTTTTTATTTATTCTACGTGTTTTTCCTAAGTGGGTATGCTTCTTTTTGATTTACTAATAAGCTGATAGTTCAGGAATAAAACCAAAATGAAAGTTTCATGAAGGCTGATGATATGAATTAACAAATTGAGCCCAAGGGCATCAGAAAAAGGGCTGTACCCACAAGCACTGTAACCTTTGCCATGTCCCTCTAAGGTCCCTTCAAATCACCCATCTCTACGAAGGCATCAAACCGCCTTGTTACAGGTGGCTGCCCGGAGCCCGGCCTGCTCCACTAACCAGGCACCAGTTTGCCTGTCTTGTACTGGCATTCATGGCAACACCTTAATGACTTTCCCAGGACGGCAGAGTTTCAAACCAAAATATTCAAGCACCGCTCTGTCTCTCTTAAACGTCAACCCGAAGGTGTTGCACAAGTCAATGCAAAACAGTTTGGAGGGTGAATTAAGTAGCCTTTGGGAAGAAAGTGTATAGAAAAGCATCGCAGGTCTGAAAGGAACACAGAGGCAGGACAGAAACACAGAGCCCAGGAAGATGAAAGGTATCCAAGAAAAGGAAAAGGTCACGAGGAGGGAAAGGAGGACGGCAGTGAGGATGGGTGAGTGTGTTTTCCCAGTGAGTGAACTGCAAGGTGCGGGGCACTCACCAAGTGGTATGTAGGGCTGAAAGTTTAATTACTGCCGCCTTCTGTGCTTTTTTGGTCTTTGCACAAAGGCTTTCTTCACACAAAGGACAGAGAGGTTTCTGTGGAGCTGTATGGGAAGGACAGCCAGCGTCCCTCGGTTCAGGCATTTCCCGTGTTTCCCAGAATAAATGGGATGCCTCTCCCTTTTCCTCCTGCCTTTCCCTCGCTCTCCGGAGGAGGACATTCCCGGGACATATTTTTCTGCAACGAAGCGCATTCACCCACATGAAAGCAATCTCTAGGGCAGGTAGTTTGCTCCCGCCGCCGGACAAGATGCGACCCAAGCCCGGAACAAGCCCAGGACAAGCCAAGCTGTCCCGGGGGCTGGGACGAGGCCACCTTTTCAGCGGGGAGCCCTCGGCCCCTGCCCTCCCCGGGAGAGGGCGTGGGGAAGGCGGCGGGGGGGCCGTGGGTTTGCCGCCGTTGATTTGGAGATAAGGGGGCAGACCCGCACGGCAGGCACCTTCTCTGACACCGCCGTTCGGTTTCCCAGAATCTTTTATTTAAAAATAAAGAATAAGAATAAAAAAAAGCAAGCCCCCTTCTCTCCTAACTACCGCAGCTCCGAGAAAACCGTGCCCCGAGGGCTGCAACAGAAAGGTGAAGCATTCCTAAAAAGCACCGAGTACCCTCTGCAGCGGCGGGGAACGCCTCGGGGCAGGGCGAGCGCAGGGACAGAGTCCAGCGGCTCTGCCCCAGCTCTCCTGCTTGATCACCGGCGGCGCAAGATGACCGGCCCCTGGGGTGAAGCCCTAGCTGAGCAGGGAGCCTGCTGGGGATCGGTAATTCCGTGACAAGATCTCTCGGGATCCCGAGGAGCGGAGAGAGGCGCCGGGAGAAGTTCCTGACATCTGCACCAACTGCCTCGAATAGTTTTGCATTTGAGATGCGCCCGTAGGAGAAGCCTGCGGCATGAGGGAAGCATCGCCACCTTTACCCCGTGTGGAAAGCATAAAAATGTGCTTCTGGGACGATCTGGGGGGAGGGGGGGAGGAGGAAGGAAGTAAAGGAGGGAGGGGGATTGTGTTCTCACCGCTTCTGCGCTTTGTTTGAATTAAACGCTGAAAAAAAAATAATTATGAGTTACTTACCCGGTCCTGCTTCTTATTTTGCTACGGGCGGCATAGCTCTGAACGGATAGCAGAGTTCTCAGACGAAAGCGCGTTGCATTGATCAGCTGCCTCCCAAAAGACGGCCGCTGCCCTGCCCGCTCCCCCCCGCAGCTGACTGCAATGCCTGCACTCAGTTGCCTGCCGCGGCAACTCCGTTACCATGCTAATTCCTACGAATTCTGAGAGCTTATTTATATTCGAAAGTTTATTTCTGGGCACAGCCGCCCCGGTAGAAGTTAAGCAGCGGGTGCCGGCAGCCAGCAAAGACGGCGATTTTAAGGCATTCGTTGAAACAAACGCACTCCTGCCCCTCTTCCCACCCTTTCAGCAGAACTCTGCCCCTTCCCCGCTCCTGCCAGGTAACGCTTCACGCC